GCGTATTTTGCCGCTACACAGTACACCAATGTATTCAACTCAGTAACAGTCAAAAGACATGTATATTGGAGCAAAGCCTGATGTCGATCTAATTGAAAACAATTGTTCGCTTACATGTATTGTTCTAAATGTCAAATAAGGGATACCTTAAAATGCAAACGTAGAGGGAAGTTATAACCATGTTAACGCAGTCAGTATAAATCCGCAAGCAATTTAACATCAAATATAGATCTAAAGTGAATGATAATAATTTAATTCGGTCTCCGAAATAAATACGATACTTAAATAGGGGTATAAGGAATGATAACTTTGAATTTGTGTTAGAAAGTGTGCTGCTGTTATATCAAACGAATATAATGTGGGAGTTTTACAAACAATCAGCTTTATATACAAAACCGGATAAAATGTTTCTTACAGTTAGTACGATTAGTCAAAAACAACGGTATAATCACTTCAGCTCCAGTGACACTTTCCCATCAAATGTGTACAGTATCGATTTTTCCTGTTGGAACAGAGTGAATCGCTAAGCTTGTACCACATATAACATAGCCTGCGACAAACGTATGGATAGACAGGTTATAAGCACGCACAAAAGCACCATTCGGTCATTCAATGGCCAATCCGTTTTACAAAAACTTCAATATATTTTTTTAAGTGTCAAATTTTAAGGTATCTAACAAAGAACGAAATGGAAAGAGGGAGTTCACGGCCGAAACTATGAACAAATCAAGTTAGAAGCTTGAGTTAAACGAGTACATAAATAACTAGTAAAAATGGTTATATACACAACAATAATTTGTACTGAACCAAGTACTGCAGAAATAATCGATTACACCTGTTTTATATGGAGATTAAGTTTGCTCCTTTTGTCTATCAAATGGAGAAATTTCCATGTGTTTGTAGTCAACATATCCGGCCCTCTATTTGTCTTCTGTGTTTGGCAATAAAACGTTGAACCAATTTATTAGAGCCACCAGGTTTTAGTGCAAATTTAAAGAACGGGCATTAGTTTGCAGGTTCATTTCATTTGCTGGTCACAATCATCACAACATAAGCAAACGAATCGTATATCTAGAACTGTAAACTTGAATCAAACTGTTCAATCATAGATGAGTTCAACTACCAATGTCAACCATCTAATCTGATCCAACCTGTTTTCAACTCCTTTAGCCCTCGTTCCAAACATCCCCATTTTCAACTTTTACACCAGCTTGACTCTCATATATCGAGGTAACAATCATGATCCTACCTTTACAGAAGAACCTAAAAGTTCTAGCACGTACAATCTGAAACATACCTTAATTTTGGTTCTTTAACGTCACTTGAAGACAGCGACTTTCTTCATTATTCCACTGCTATAACAAGGTTGTTTGAGTCTGGATTTGGTTTACATGAACTAAGTAGCCTCAATACATTGATGAAGAAAAAGGTTCTGTGGAAACAAATATTTATTTTGGTTTCATCATTAATGTAATAGTCTCTAAAGCAATCGACTGAAGTGACGTAATTTTCTAACATACGGGTTCATAGGCGGAGGTTACACCACCTATTTGTTAACGTTGATCTACTCTAACTCCATGGTCATGTTATTCCATTTCTGCAACGCTCTTAAAGAAATAAAAATGTTTAGTTTACTGGAGTTAAACAGAGATGGTGTGACTGTTTAAAGTACGTCGAAGTTACACCGCTTTATGAATAAATAGGCTGACGTAACTCACCTTAGTGCCCAGGTACTGCTGCTTTTCTGGTGTTCATGGAGGGCTAAACAAGTTTTAATACACAAACTGTTCACTTATATACGAAGAAAACATAGTTTAAAATGTATGGGAGCAACTGACTGTTGTATGTGATAGTTTCATGGAGTGCATTTGACCCTTCCGACAATCAATTTGTGATTCAGATTCTAGTCGTTGTGATGGCTTTTTTGAAGACTTTTGGTGCGCGGATTGCAGCTTCCTCTTGGAAGTGACTGAGTGTTCTGTAAAGTAGTAGCCGGTTGTGGACCGGATCTCATAACGTACCCATTGTGTTTTATGAACCTAAATGTATCTGTTAACCATTATGTATATGGAGGATTCATGAATTAGGACTTCCTCTTATTGCTTGTCCATATCCATCATAGAAAAACTATTACAGCGATCAGCTTTCTAACCTAGTAATGTTTCAGCTTGATGAATGATATGGCTGCAGCTGACTGATACTTTACCGACCCTGTTGAACGCTCAGAATCTCACCAGTGAAATAATTTATTAATTTGAGCAGGATAACGAGAGCTAATACACATAGACGGGGAAACATTTGTACATGTGCTAGATATATGTTATTGAACAATTCATCCATGACCTTGACGAGGTTAGAGAAAACGTTCTGTGTCCAGGGGTCAGTCCTCTCATGTATGCATGAGTTCAACTTGACTAATAATTTGCCTAGGGCCTAATGATACTTCACGGACCCTACATTTTTTGAAAGTTTTTATAAACCTCATGACTATCTGAATCAATGTCATTTGTGACTAATAAAGTTATTTGGTTACAAACTTTGGTTGACTTAACAGCTAAATTTACATGTAATAATAGTTGTGACTTCTGAACATATCTAAGTATTGTCCTTCTCTCAAGCTACAATCAACTTATAACTATTTTTTATTAAAACTAAAATAGCACTTGTTTACAAGGTAAATAAAAACGCTAACAATGATCCTTGAGGCTTGTATGTGACCAACCTTGTTGCGATCACATATCTCAAAAAGGTGACAAATGAATAGTATTGAGATTTTAGTAAGAAATGTGGTGTTTGTGCAAATAATTATTTGGTAGATAATTAACGTCACAATTCCTATTTTAGTATATTGTTTGGCTCTGGGAATTACTTGTCCACCTATTACCTTATGCACTAGCAGCGATTCAAGATATCTTAGTAGCACAATAGAATTGCTTACATTATTGAATTCGATGATAACAGTCGCTTACCAAAATGATGAAAAATGTAACACACAAGTCATCGTTGTTCTTATTGTTGCCTATGGTTTTCGCTGCGGGAGTCCAACTATTTTATTCACATTAGCAAAAATTCAGTTACATTTCTCATTGTGTTCGGGTTTCCAGTAGTTTAACATGCTATAAACCTTAGAACATGGAATTTATTGCTGATACAATGGTGCCACTGACTATATTTATATCTTTATTGTTCCATAGATAAAAACTTTTGAAATGCGTACTTTGATTGATTTCGTAGAGCTATTCCTTCATTTTTCTGTTCTATGGAAATACAGTTAGAAAGAAAAATCACAAAACATGACAAGAGACCAAGTCTAGCTGTAAGGAGATATTAAGTCTACTTCTTTTGGTTGTATAGCTTACAACTTTTAACTGACATAGTGAAAATACTGTTTGGAAAAGTCATTCTACCAGTCTCCGATAGACTATCATTAACTCACCACATTAATAAAAGCGACTGAATAATACTTGTCTCACATTCTGCTCAGACTTGTTGAGCTAAGAGCAGAGTGTTTTATACATTGATTAATCTAACTTAAATGCTGGCTAAAGCAGGAAAAGTAAGTTTCTAGATCAGCAGCCAATGTGAATTATGCCATAAGAACAGACGGATTGATCCATAAAACTTGCTCAGTCAATTCGCCATTTCGTTTCAGGATCACCGTCATTAGTTGCTTAGTTTTCTTAAATATTGACATGGGATTCTAGCAATCACATCATGTGACCCTAATAGAACTACCAAAAGTGCTGTTGATATCCCTTGAATTCTATACTTTTCATTTCAGTACTCTAATAACTACGTATTTATTTTAATTGATTGTTTAAGAGATTGAATACTCTTTCAAAATATCCACAGTAATTAAGACGGCTTTTAATAATTAACTAAGGAAAAATCAGCATAACATTCATAGAAGAATCGTAAAAATATCATTCCGAAATGAATAAATGGACAAGTTGGGATATAAATTCAATGAACCCACTTTGATGCCTCAGTGTTTCAGAGAACTTTGAACAATTCTTTTCGAATGATGAAGTGGAATGTTGACTGATAAGTTAATGTGATTTAATTAATAACGATGTTTCAGTTTTTAATTGTTTGCTTTCTAGTTGCTTAAGTAGGTATCATCATAAAGATGAAACTCTCACAGATTGATTGATTGATCAATCGTTTGTTAATTAGTTTGAAAGTCATATATGTGTAGTATCATTGATCATATACATGTATACATGCTTTTAAAATTATTATACACAGCATAAAATTGATAAATCAAACATTCCTAACATTGCGTTACGATATAACTACTGAATAAAATTGCCTGGAATACATGGGACTTGATGGATCTGTAGGGATTGTGTGTGGGCACTTCTGAGGAGTTCCATGCTAGGATGAAAAAGTTGTCTAGTCCTCAGTGGCTTTCAAAGGTATCTCGCATAATACTACTGCGTAATTATTCTCATCTAGAAACATATGGGTTTACGAACAACAACTAATAAATTAACGGTGATATTGTATTTCGAATTTATATCTTAATCTAATTTCATGACTTAATACCACTATTATCACAGCCTTTTGAAGTTCATTAACGACTTCTTAGGTTTAACATTAGTTGAAGATGAATGAGGAGAAAAATATGTGAAGTTTGAAGTTTTGTATGAATGCATGCTGTTTAATTAATCGCACACCGATTACTAAGAATGAAAAACACTTTGTGTACAGAATAAAAAAAGTAAACTTCAGACAGTATTTGCGAAGAAATCCATGTGCTAAGATGTTAGCTGTGAACTAGAGAATAAGGAAAACATTCACTTAATCGACCAATTCTTCCATATTGTATATCTTAGTATTGGGTAAACGAACCTGAAAATGTTTAGCCCACAAAATATCTTAAATTCTTAGTATTTATAAATATCTTTATGGCGTATTCACGTGATTTTGTGGCTAAAAATTACCCTCATACAATGGCCTCATTTCTGCAACTTCAAAACATTTGTAAAAAGACTATTGCTTTAAACATATATTTATTAAGATAAATAGGTAATAATAGTCTAAGATGGTGTTATGCAATGAGTTTTATAATATCGAGGTAAGATAAATTAATGAAAAATACCTTTCAATACGTGCTTGCATTCATTTATATCCATGATCCTCTATAATATTTTTCAAAGATATCCACTTGTGTATTAAATTGAATATGGATCGATGTTACACAACTATCTGGAAAATAACCAGCGCAAATGCCTGAGACTGACTTTTTAAAATAAAGAACTGGTTACAGACGATGGACGGATTAAAAGGGTGCAAATACCTACTCCTTGTTTGTCCACATAAACACACAAGAAATAAAATGTAGAAAATTGGTATTAACATGCTAACAGATATTGATAATAAAAATAATAGTAACAACAATAATAATAGTATCAATGTTTCAAGTTCAAAAGTTATCCTTTTGTGAATTATATATATGAACTCAAATCCAGAAAATGAAAATGGGATGAAATAGTTGGAAAATGACATAAATTATTAAGTTTGTTATAGAATGTTTTATCTTTTTAAAAAAAGATTTAAGAAACGAAACAGATAGTATTGAATAAGATGTAACTAATTGAATTTTTATGGGGATATATCAGTGTATAATTAAGTGTTGTTTCTTTTTCAATAATAATAAATATAGTTCGTTTAATTGAGATATGGTTGAAGTACGTATTACAATAACAATCTCGGTGTTTAATCTGCCAATGAGATAACTGATAATAATGAGCTTATTTCATCTGTACATAAATAAAGTAACATGTTGAGAGAAAAAATTAATAAAATAACCAAGTATTCAACTATATTTATATAAATTTGAAGGAAAACTGAATTGGTAAGCAAAACGTTTCATAAACTAATATACTTCTTAATATAGTTTTGTCAGTAGTATTTCTTTAGATTAATGTATTGCATAAACAATGTTTTAAAGTAAAGATGAATAGTGGCTAGCAGTGGGATCCAGGACGCGCGTTTCGTCCTATTTGGGACTCGTCAGCTGGATGTACCCGTACCTGTTTTAAAGTGTTTTTATTAGATAGCCATAAGAAAATATATTACTGAAAATGTACTGTCAATCTACTGTTAATAATTAGTCGAAAATAGCTATTAAACTAGATTACAATTTGGTGAGAAATATAGTTTATTCAATCCCAGAATATTTCTAAATCATAATAATGACTTTCGAAAAGCTAATCGTATGTGGTCTCTAAGTCACATAATCAATGATCAACATAAGACAACAGTCCATGAGAGTGTAAACTCATATGAAAACAAAAAGGCCCTTCAGAGATAATCAGTCATTAGTAGGGTCATCAGAACTGACTAATATGACACTTGAAAAATATTTAAAAAATCCTAAATAGTACTTGAAATAGAGGTTGATGACTCAGCGTAAAACGACAAGTAAACCATTCAGCTTATAAGTAATTTTACTAAAGTCATATTTTTTTGTTAAATGAACCCAATTTATTCATCCTTGACTGGTAAACTAACTGCAGCAGTCAGCTGTAATATAAGTCTCTACCTACTTTTATTACAAATACAAAATTCAAATATAAACAGACATCATTTCAAAACCGAATCATATTAATGACAAACCAAAATATCATACCATCATTCAAATTGAATAGATCGGCTTGTTTTCGGAGGAATTCTTGTTTGATGGTTTCGTGCAAACCGAACACATTCATTGTCTGCAAATATGATCTGAATTTATTGTGTTCAGAAAGTAGAGAATAGAAGAATTATTTGACATTTGCTGGATGTATTTAGTAACGACTATTAGATAACACATTATGAATAATATAATCACGAGTGATTTCCACAGTATTCCTCATCCATTCTGTATAATTATTCAAGCAAGTATTAGAAACTGATTTGTGAAAGTAAGCAAAAATGTTGTTGAATTAGCTGAGAAATTTTTCAAGTGGGAATAGAAATCAAAACCCTTATAACACCGAAAGAAAATATATGAGTCAAGCTGTTGTCTTCCTTTTAAATAACTTATCAAGAATAAAAAGGAAACTACATTTTTAAAAATCTCAGCGTTTTAAATGAAAATAACTCTAACATGTCACTCGGCAATTCGGTCCGATTAAAACGGATTTTTACAGATATAGTGTAGTTTTTGATGTTTTCTGTTAACTTGGCACCCAAATGTTTGAAATTTTCTTATCAATAGTAAACTAGACGTCAATACCAATGGACTGTGAAGTTGGGCAGATAATGACTTATTGTATGGTGTAAAACTGTGGGTATGAGCTACTGACATTAACATACAGGACGAAATAACTGTTTCGTATTCACTCATTTTTTAAATAGTTGCTCGACTAAAATCGATCTACAATGTTTACCGGCTTAATAGTTCTGTTGTTTGAAGATTGCAAGTTTGTTGCTTAAATTTTTCCATAATATCTAGTTACTTCTTTCTTCATCACAAGAACTGTATATCTTCAAAATATTGAACGCCTAAATAATCAGATCATACAAATTTTATACACTGATATGACATCACTATTTAGAACTATTTTTAAATACCTAAATGGTTGTATGATATCTAGTTGAATAAGTTATTCCGATTAACTTAAGTTATAATCAGTCAGAAATTTAATTTTGCAAGGTAGGCAACCATTTCAACCATATTTTGCTGTTTTTCCCTCTTTATGATCGTCTTTTAAAAATATGAGTGTATTGTTTAATTTTTACCTTTTCAATGTATCTTTGTATTTAGAATCAGGATGTTGGGATTTTTCAAAAAAAGTTTGTTTTAACTAACACACACAAAAGGTGATAAAAGTTTTTTACCAGCCAACGTTCATATACGACATCTGCTCAAAGTAGGATTTCTTATAATTTAGATTGTATTCGGATCACGTTAAACCGAAATGTTACATTGTTTTCTCATTATCTATCGTTTTTTATTTTGACGCTGAATAAACCATTCGAGAAAATAGCAATTTAAAAGAAATTCAGTAGGTCAACCTCAGAAAATATCTCTTCATTAAAAAATGACCGTTTGTGCAAGTGTGTACGATAATTAAACTAAACGAATGTAAGACACAAAAGGTGTGAAATTTATTCACCGTGATTAAACAAATAAATAATTTCTCTCCATGAAACCTGCTCATTTTTATGTATCTTTAATAAATGTAAGAATGATGAGCGAAATTTCAAGGAAAAATCGATTCTTAAACGACTACAATGTATCTATCAAGTTACTGATTTTACATCCTATCACTTTAGTTACAAGTTTTGACTTCGGTCACTGAACAACGTCTTCACCAGTTGTATGAATATCATTTCTTAATTTTTTAAAAATTGATTTACTGGCACAGATCTGAATGGATTATTGGCATTGATTTATCAAATAAGTTTAATTTTACCAGTCAAATTAGTTGGCGGTTACTAACAAGTATGAGATAGAGTGCACATAAATGCAGTCAACAAAACGGATATAAAATTTAACATAGATCCAGAATCCGTTCTTTTTCATCAAAATTAGTTGTAAATAGTATACCAAAGATATTGTTTACTCATTGTCAAACTGATAATACAAAAATCCATACACTTTGAATTTTAAATGATGATATTAAGAAATATATAAAGAAATTGTATACTTACTTCAACTGATCGTATGTTGTCGAAGTAGATACTTTAGTTGAACTTTGAAAAATAAAACAAATGAAGTAATGTTTAAAAACAAATAAGGATGTAAATTAAAACAAATCCTCATCACTCACTGACCCATATTGGTCTACTTGAAGTTATGGACGTGGAAGTGAATTTTAATAATCTTGAATGTCTAGCATTCAGAAACTTTGTGTTACTTTTTCACGACTTGAAATATCTGCGGGGAAAATATGATTAAAGTGGATAGGTTCAGTGTCAAAAGATGTAGAAAGCAAGTATTGATGGACACATACTCGACTTATGTTGATCAATGATGAAATTCATATTTTCTTGATGTGAAATTTTAATAAACAATTGTGTTGAAGATTAAAACAAAAGTTAAATGGCTAAGTAGGATCTCGTTTGAAATAAAAGAGAAATGAATTTTTTAAAAGCTCTAAGAGTGCTAGATTTTAAAAAATTGTAAACAGGTTACTAACCCTGTTTCCGATTAATAAGCAAGTGTTAGTAAAATGTCAACCACTGTACTGGCAAGTGACTAGGAAATTATCCAAGCAACAGTTGAGAATTAAGTTTCACTGCTGAAATAAAAGTAAAGGAGTGTTAGAGTCTTTGAACAACACATTGTGTGATAACCACTTGGTTCTTCCTAATTAAATTATTCCTTTAATAAATCAACAACAGTGATAACGCCAGTGACTTTGAAAAAGAAAAACTGTAAACAGTTGTCTTCTCAAGAGCACATATATGCCAGATTTAAACAAATAACTTGTCACATTCAATAGCTCATCCTAAACAACTGTTTATTCAGTAAATAATATTGATCACAATAATGATGGTAATCATAAGTATTCTGAGAATATAATTTTTCACTAAAACCACTCCATCTCTTATCAGTCTTTGAAGATTATAAATTTCATGATTCTCTTTTGACATGGCCTGATTCGCGAGTTTCAGAGAGAATTAAACTTGCATTAATAATAATAGTGCTAACACACCTTGTATTCATAAGCAAAGGGGATATATATATATATATATATATATATATATATATATCGCAATAATAATTGAAACTGTATAATTTAAAGTCAAGGAAAGATTTCGAGCAAACTAGTTCTAGTCACAGCTTAATATCAGTCCAAAAGCAATCTCAAACCAATCAATACTCAACTTTGTAACAGGGAGCTAACAATGACTTTTATCGAAGTAAAATCCAAAATTTATTAACTCAAAAACGAGTGAGTTAGCTACTTTAACCAGTAATTGGTTTTCCAAATTCATTTTGAGGGACCGTTTGAATATAGTTACTTTAATCTTTACATCTTAAAAATGATAGACTGTATTTGAATAATGTTAGACCACTTTATGCTGCGAAAAGATAAAATAATGTCATACTATAAATAACCAAGTTAAGGAATATGAGTAAAAGAAATCGGAGTTTACAATGCAAGAAACAACTGGGTTTTATGCGTTAAAAATTAAACACAAATAAATGTAACAGCGCTCTAGCACTAATATTGTAATATGGAGCAATTTACTCGCATGTGTATTTAAGTCTATTTTTCGTCATCATCAATATAGACATCAACATATTCACCAAATTACTCATTAATGAGTTAAGTACTAACAGCAACCCTGGTGGTATCTTAATGGTGATGCTCTGTAACTTAAAATCAAACGACTGATTTACCCTTATTGATTCTAAACGTGGAAAAAAAATTTAAAAGAAAATGCTCAAAACAAAAACTATACATGAGTTAATCGTTTGCCAACAAACGTTTTTCCTTAGAATATCACCTACGAGAAGTTAGATGTAATAAAACTAGTCGAACATTTATCTTTACCTTAGCTTACTAGTTACCTGATGAGTTAAATATCAGTTCTGACTTTTATTTTCTTTTAAGTTAAGTAAATAGATTTATTATTATTCGCTAGGATGTGATTAACTTGGTTAATTAATTTCCGTCTACATACACTAGGAATTTATTTCTATTCCATATTCATACACTTTTATTTGTTTGGAAATAAATTACGTTTTAATTAAGATTCTGATGTATTTAAATTACTAGGCATTAATGAAGGTAAACACACACACACACACACACAAAATTTAATCAAGGAAAGAAAGATCATGGATAACACTAAAATAAATGAGTGTCTATCAAGGTCAAGGACATAGTTACTTTCATTTTAGGAAATAAAATCACATTTCTCAAAATACCTTGAAAGAGAAATTATATATGGAAGTTTCATATCTTTATAACTCCTAATTGTATAATTAGTTTACTTAACCTATAATCAATATAGAACATATACATTAAATCAATAAGATCCGTTGAAAATATGTCAACTGTATAATATATATATATATATAGGTACGTAAGTAGGTACATTGGGAGATAAGTGTTTGTTTGTAAGTTGTTTGTCAGAGTGGATAATAACTAATACCCTGATAAAAATAGTTTTGCTAGTTCCGCCTTTTTTTATCCTCTGGTTACTAGGCTACAGGCTGGATTAAGTGGGACATTTACCAAGCTAGTATTTGCCTTTAAAATTTTGCTGAGATAAATCTTTGAATAATAAAAACCTATAGTGATGAAGATTTCAGGGAATTAGATCAGACATTTCACCCTTAAGGGAACCTGTCAGCGCATTTGGATTTTCATATGTACAGAGCGAATTCTTCGTATGATGATTACTTAAACTAAATCGATTGCAGTATTCTATGTTGCTACTAGGCTGAGAGCGATACGACGCAGTTGCAACTCGATACCTAGCAACAGTATTTTGAAAACCGAAGAACCATGTCTTTCACTAGTTAGAAACCATAATCGAGATGGATTTTTTACTAATTAGTAAATGGATGTTCAGACTGAGTTTAAAGAAGACTTACTACTTTCAAAGTCCCAATTACTGACAAATTCTATCGGCAGTTTGAATCACAGAGTTTGGTCGTATTTATTCTTTCTGATGAATTTAATATACAGAACATTAATATAGAACCATTAGAATAACTCTTTCCAAATGTTTAACAATAATCAGTGAACGAGACATGATACTAAAATACCCAGAAAATTCCAAGTAAACTTTTAACAGAATATTAAACTACGCTATCATAATTTGTGATATTGAACAAATTTCTTTCGTCGTAGAAGGAGACTTAACAAGCAGACTATAACTTCGCACAACAGTGAATCACATTTGTTAGGCTTCTTATGATTTTCCATGAATTAGACACGTCAAGGTTATAGATTTTGAAATGTCTAGACAAGCCTGTTGGCATATAAGAAACTTAAGTGTAATAAATACTGAGATCTCTTTCTGTGAAATTTTGAAGTATTACTGACCAGAAGCAGTCACTAAATAGCCTTGAAACACTTTTATGGCAATTGTTGACAAGTTACAACTTTTACTATGTGGACTAAGAGCAGACATTTGAACAGTAATATACTAAGTAGACACTGTTACTCTTTGGAATTAAAGAAACAAGTCTCATCGTTTCAAAATATTCGGTGTAATATGTAATTAAACCTTATACTAAATGAAAAACTCTATCGTTTCATACTTTCTAAATTTTATTCATGAATTTGTGTACTATGACCATTAGCTAAATGATATAATTATGGTGTATATATTACTGGATTTTAAAGTAATTTAAGAGCCGCTTGTAATGAAGGCCATAACAAATGGTAAGTTTATTTTAATAAATGAACAATGAACCAAGGCAAAAATATTAGATACAACTAATTAATATCAAATGAATTTTTTATTTAAGTAATGAAACTACTTAGGATTTAATCAGCCATCGTAACATTCAAATTAGATATAATTGTTATTCGACTTACTCATATGATGATTCCTCTGCCTTTGAACGTGCCTCCTGTAAAGATTGGAAAAAGCAGGCATTCCAAAACCTTAATGACTGCCAAATTGGTTGACTTTTGATATACGTGAAAATAAAGGTTCTGTCCGTTGATACCGATGGATCTATGGATTTAATGATTTGTCATTTAAAGGTTATTAGAATAAACGAATTTATGAAACAATTCGAAATATAAAAAACTATATCGTTTGACATTACATCTAATTAGCTTAATATTGAATAAATGAAATCAATCTATAAGCTCTGTTGAATGTTTCAAGGTAATATCAATAAATATAAATCAGAATGTATAGAAAATAAAAGTATCTGAATACAAAAATTATACAAAACGTCAGCAGTATGTCGAAAACTTACCGTAAGTATAAAACTTCAATGATATAGTGAGAAGTTTCTTAGCTGGTTGAAAGTCTTCAGCATTTTGACATTCCACTAGTAGTAAACTTATTTGATCAAGTAGTTTCGGTAATGCTTGTAAATCAACCAAACCTTGTGTACGACGAGACTGATGTTGGTGAAAGGTAATAAGAATAAACGTAAAAGTATATCACGTGTCGATTTAAAACCAAACCGAAAATATTTACCAGCTTTTCATAAATGATGGTCAAATTATGATAAATGAATCAAGTACGGTAAATATTTACACAAAGTCATTTACCTGATGTATGGTCTTGTTAAACATAATCAAGATTGGAAAGCTACTCGATTTGAAGGAGTATTAAGCATTCTTAATCTGAATCCTCAAAAGTATAATATATTTTTCCATAAAAAGTTATCATAGACAAGCATGAAAACTCATCACACGTTTGGCTGTTCAATAACAATTTTTACTCTTGTTTAAAAATGTACAATCGGTTATCATTCAGCAGTTACTTAATGCATATATCTTAGTCTTATACACACAAAGAAAACTTTCGTTGCAGACTGGTATTGGCAACAGAACTTTTAAAAGTAGTGAGCTAGTAGTGTTAGGCAAGAAATTAGCAATATTTTTTCTTCATAAAGTCTAAACAGATGTCAGTATGCAAAGCATACTTTGTTGACTGCCTACTGTATTCGTTATCCCTTTTAACACAAATATAGTCAAAACCAAAAAGAAGAAATATTCTTTGCAAAATAATTCCTCTGACGAATGAAAAACAGTAACATTTTTAATGAAATTAACCACTTGTAGAACATGCCAATAGGGAATGCAGGAATAAAACTGGATTCTGACCAGTGAATAGTTTTTTTATCATTCACACAATTAAAATAATATGTCACTCTTACAGTAAGAAAATACAAGTGTTACTGGCAAGAACAATTTTCATAATTCGATTATAAAACAAAATAAATGAAGGAAATAAACAATTTACTCAATTTATTGTCCTCTATTTTCATTATTTATTAAAGTTATACTTTCATAGTAAATTTTCCTCCAAAGGATAATTTTGAGTTCAACAGATTGTTTTTTTTTTGTTTTTCATACTTTTACTCAACCATTAAATGTAATATAATTAAATAACTTAGTAACAATTTGGATTGTGACTCTTTGAACGTTAGATGAAGATTCCTAGAAAGATTTTAAATAAAATTCAGCTTTCATTGACACAGTTTTATCAAATATATTATGTAGTTCAGAGCTTCAGTTTGAAGTACCGCCAAGAATATACCCGTTCAAAGCAGAGTATATTAATCACTCGGAATAGTAGCATGGGTTAACAAGAACCACAATCCTCATAACTAAGACTTAAAATAGCATTATCAGTATATCATTGTTGTACAAAGTATCTGGTCAAAACCATCGAGTGATGAGAGCATAGAAAAGAAGTAGAATGTTGAATTACGGGCGATCACTCTTCTGAATTTTAAAAAGATGCCCAATCGGGTTATTAGATTTTAATATGATCTAAATTTAAAAATTCTTTCCTCAAAAACGTTAAAAAGCTTGGTCAGTGATAATTCATTATCACTAAGGCATTAAGTTACCATCAAATGATCCAAATCATTTTCAGCAGTTTGGTCAGATACATGTGGAGTCGTATCTAAATGGTTATTAGGATAGTTCTAAGGTTACATTCGTTAAAAACCCCTATGAACATAGAATGACAAGGAATATATTCATTCTACTTTCACTGAAGCTTAACTATAGTTAAAAAAAGAACTTACATTAGTGTATATTCAAAAATATTATCTTCACGTCACTCAAGACTTGACCAAGTTGAGGAAGACTGAAATTACTACCATTACAGCCCACGATTGCCCATACTATTAAGAATATATCCTTTATATAATGTGCTCCAGAGTATATTTAATTTTCTAATTTGAACGGAATACATTTCGTTAAGTAGCAAAAATTCTAAAATTCTCTCAGTGAACTAACTTCTCCTTCACTACACCATAAAATCAAGTAATTAATTCAAGATTCAGTATCAATATATGTACTCATATCAACGACAAATTTATGTGAGTTAGAAAGACTGTTGATATTTATCTAATTAAACACTATGTATCCGGAAATGGATTTATTTCTCATAAAATAAAGTTTAAGTTTTACTCATTTTTATACGGAAATAACAACAATAAATTGGATGATAGTCTTTTATACATAACAGTAGCCTTTGTATGTTGTATCATTCAAATGAAAGTCAAAAAATGAAATGAAAATACCAATTAAGTTCATTCAACATTTCGATCAACTCACCTCTTGTTCTAGCGCATTAACGAATGCGATTCTCCCAGCTGGTGTCTATCCATAAGTAGATGAGTAGAAGTATGAAAACATTGGTGAAAGGAACAAAATGGTGGGAGAATTGATTAGAAATAATGTCAGTTTTATGGAAATATTATTATAAACAAATTTATAAGTGTAACACACCACTGAATATCAAGGGCAAAAACAGTGAAAACTGATTTATTGCAATTATTCCCATAAAATAAGCATTTAATTAATATAAAGTTACAGAAACTAAGCCAGGAGAATGTAAATATTGGTTTCTTAACACAGAAAAAGTGCTAATTTTATGTATCACAGTGTCAAATGTTCAAAACTTTAATAACACTGCTGAAAGTTCCTTCATTAACTGTAAGCTTTATGCTGTTTAAGCTTAAGCTACTATTCGAGTTTTGGAACCAAAGAGGGTAGAATTATATTTGGCCCCAGAGACAAACAAAAATCTATTATAGGTTATTTATTTTAATTAGCTATTTTACATGAGGGCTTTTCATATGACATATGACAGTCATATCAAATCAGTCCCTAAAAGTTAGTGTTAAAAAGTCAATCAAGTTTTATTTGCATAATAAGTAGTTAAATTTACATAATATGGAATAATACTGTCATGGTACTCAAACATTTCAGTCCAACAATAGAGACTGCTGACTCAAAACCAGGTTAAAAATGATAAACAGACAAGGTAAAGAAATTTTATTACCTTCATTAAATAATTAAAATATTTTTCACTTAATTTTTTAAAAGTGCTAAACACATTAACATTCACACACCAGTTTTGTGAAATTAAAGTCACTGATTGATGATACAATTTTATTAATCCGTTAATTAGGGGAAAATAGAAAGAAAAAATGTAAGTTTAAGCCACTGGTTCAAGACATAAACATCCTATTCTTTTACTTTGGGTTAAGATTTTCAACACAAAGCTTCAAAGCTGTAACGTCATTTTGACATCTGATAAAAATTAAGTTGTCGTGGTAAACTTTGTGTAGGAAAATAATGTTCTAGGTGGGAAATTCGGTATAAAACTGATAAATGAATTATGTAATAGGAGATGAAGTGAGCAAACTTAATGATTGATAATTTGATTAAAATGGACATAAATTACGATAACAGAAAAATTAACCGATGTTGTTGCTATGATAGGACGAAGACCTGTACACTGTCTCTGTAATTTAATACTAGGTTAAAATTTATGAATGGGAAATGTTCCTGCTATGTATGGCATGGTGAGGTTGCCAATGATGAGATGAGAAATAAAATATTCGATTCTATATAGGCTACATATCACCATGATTTTTTACAAACAATGGTAACAATGGAATAAACTCTGAATAACATTTTTTAAGTATGACAACAATTCTGGAATGAGTATACAAGGAAAACACTTTTATCAGCTTCCCTTTTACAGAACCCAACGATAATTCCGAATGTGCAAACTAAGATATTTCTTAAAATGTTAACAAAGCGCTCAGATTGAGTTGATATTTCTCAAACATGTGTAATCGTATAAACTACTTAACTAAGCTGACAATCACTTTCCGAAAAGAAACTCTTCGTTCACTATTGAAACTCTAGTCTGTGTGATAAATCTACTACTTAGTAATAAAGTACATTGAATAACTATATGTTATATTAAGAAATTAATCTTGGATATTTCCGTGTCCCCAAGAATGCTGATCATTTGTTAGTAAACAAAACAATTTATTCCTCTTAATTGTATCAATCCTGACACGTACATCATATAAATATCGAAATAGAAAAATGTTTGCCCAATATTTACGCTCTTATATCTGAAAGGCCTATACAGAAAAAACATATTACATAGATATTAATCGCATACAAATTTATACTTTACTAACTCGATTGTCCAAGATAAGTCGATTTTCAAGAGACTAATTGCTGTCATTTCAAAAGTTCCTAATGTAACAAAATTAAGTGACCTGACAATCGTAGTTTGTGTGAAACCAATTCCATTTTTCCATTTCAATTATTCGGACCAAATGATATCACACATAATACGTGTTTTAAATTTTGTGCATAATTTTTAAAAAAAGGAAAAAGAGATGAATTCCCCAAAATAGTTAACTTACAACCAATAGTTCTTGTAATTCATTTTCTTTACTCTTTAAATAATCCGATCTATATGTATAAAACAAAAAAGTACAAAGGATTAATCATTGAACAATTTGTTAGGAAATAATTTAGATTATACAATGAGTTCTTATGAAGTAACAGCATTAAAAAATAGGTTATAGTAAATAGTTTATTTCATATCACTATCAGTGAAAAAGTGAAGATTGATAAATGAGTTTAATAAAGAATCTTTTAGTAAGGCAACTTATCTCAGACAAGTCAATTTAAAGACGAATACAATTCTACTAACTTGTTAAACCACTGTAACTATTGCTTAGTTTCATCAGAAACCCAGTAATTCCATTTCATGATTTCCAATAATTTTTCAGTATATTTTAAACATGGAGACAGCATTCATCATAAAGTGACATCAGCTGACATTAATAAAAACTAAGAGAAACTAAAATGTTGATTCAGATTATTTCTTTACCTCAGCATATGGGATCGATCTCGAAATCTATAGCTTTACCTGCAACCACAATACATTTAGATCATTCAGTTGAAACTCAATCTTTCCCATTTCTAACCTGCTTATAATAAGGTCATCATCAAGCGTTGTGGATGATAAGTCATGGTTGAATTCTTTTAGTCGCGACTTTTTACTAAAACTTCGTAAATTAGGCTCAAAGCTAGTTACGAGTGAACATAGAACTACTACTTAGTTGGATACTATTAAGTTACCAAGATACATGAATTTCATATATAAGTGTGAACCATTAAGAACTTGGTCATTAGAATCGCCACACTTAAGCAAAATGAAACTCTAAAAACAAATGGAGAATTCTGATGATGAATTATCATACATAGGGTTAATTAAATAAACTTACAGATTACTAATTTTAATAAGATGTTTGTCTCGAAGATAGTTAAATTCCTTTAAAATTATCAAAAGTTTGTAAACTAAGTTACAAAATCTTATACCGAAAATAAAAACATTTAAATATTCTAAGGAATAGAAAAATAATCAAAATTATTTTTAGCCGAAGACAGAAACTATTACAAGTATTTCATCATCACAGTAACCAAATTATGAACCTTCCTTTTATATTTGATTAAAGAGCTGTTTCTATCCCATGATAGTAACACTAGCTCTAAGTACGGTAGAGAATATTTCAACATCTTTTGCCTAATAAGTGGATAACCTGATAATTTTCTGACTATCAGTCAAAAACAGTGAATGAGGCTGCTTTACATTAGGTAGGAGATAGGTATGGCTTGTTAAAAATACCTATGCTCACAATTCTTCATCATGCTACTTTATAAAAGTCTTTTATTTTGGTAAAGTAAGTTACATGTGAAGTCGAGATCTACAGTGCCTTGTTTTGTATAATTACTGCTGACTGGCCGTGACATCACAATTTACTGAAAAGTAAAGTTCATCTGAAATTTTAACGTTAATGCATACGTGTAGTACGCAAGAATTTCCTCCATTCTTTTGTGAACAAGAGAGTAACCACTTTAAATAAATAAATTTCTTCATACGACAATCATTTGTAGATTATTTGAAGTCAAGTTTTTTTTTCATAGAATATGAACTTTTTATATGTTCAGTTCACTAAAAGTATAAAGTGAGATGGTGAAAATTAAGGTAACTTTTTCCACTAAACTACAAAACATTACAATACTAAACGTTTTGAATTATGTCAGTTTAAGCTAGACTTTGATAAGTTGTAATTTTCCCCTAAGCGACTCTCATCTCTTAAAACTAAGGAGATATTCAAGCGTGAATATTTTTGTTCAGATAAGACTACCAGGAGTAAATTCTACTGAAATAATTGAGAAACGCATTTGTAGCCGAGATAAGATGAATGTTAAAAGCACATAGTTGTCAGCGACAAATCATATAGACTATAAAGTATGAGTCTGTTACAAACAGTATAAAAAGCTGTTTGTTTTGTCTAACATAATTCTAAATCCGTACCATTGATTTTTGATAACAAATGACATTCAGCTAGATTAGCTATACAGTTAAATATTATTTAGGGTTTTAAATTGTCAGTCAATTGCTTTAAGACCATAAATGTACATTACCCTTGTATCATTTAAAACTTACCGGCCTATTATCAAAGCTGATGTATATAAATCCATAAATTCTTGAATTTTTTCTATACTAGGTGTATTTATCAGAGTTGGACATGGAGGAGCAAATGTTTTATCTTCTGTTGATATATTTTGAGTCTCACATAACTTCGTAGTGGAATTAGTTTGATCGTTTGCGGTAAGTACTAATTCTCTTTCCTGCTTATAAATTGGCTGATCACCATTTTCACCATATTCAGATGCTGAACTGTTTTCTTCCTCCTCAATTACAGATGCGCTAGGTTCGTCTATTAATTTGAACGGATGACCACGATCCTTTCCAGGATATTTTATTTTTTGATCACCTGGCTGCTCATCTATTGACTGATCTCTGTCTTCTTGGAATGAAGATGATTTCACTTGTGCAGAAAGATTTGTTTCATCCAAGCTCATAGCTCTACTCAATGCTGCACTGCTTGGAGGAGGTGGTCTAGGTGGACGTGAAGTATTTTGTGTACTTTGTCGTCTCAATGCACTACCACTTGATGTTAGGTGGGATTCTTCAGATCTTTGAGAACCACAACTTGGTGAATAATGAACATAACTCGTGAACTTTTCCGTCTGTGATTTATCTAAATCCATTATAGATCTATTATTAAAAGGTGCCTGTGAAGAAACATTTATGGTCGAATCCCTGACATCTTGATCAAAATAGGACGTCCTAGGAATATTTTCTGTAGTGTCATCTTTCTGAGTTTCGTCTTTACTATCTGATCGATTCACAGAAGATCCACGCACAACATGCTCCAGTTTACCAACCGAAACTTGTTTAATCGAATCGAGTTTGCCACTGATATCTAATTTCTGATTTAAATCTGATACTAGATGACCTGTTTTCGCATTCACACTTTCGAAAATTCGACTTGGTGAAGTGAAAAATGAATTCATCCCAGGTGGATCATTACCTTCAGTAGTTGATGAATCGGTATGAACCTTTTCACTGTCAAATGATATGCGTCTCAAGAAATTCCCAAAACTCATAATTCTTATGTAATTTTTAAAAAATGAGACTCGATGTAAATACAAATAGTAGTCTAAAACAAATAAAGTTTATTGATTCACGTTACGATGATGATATAAATCAAAATTCTTCGGCTTTTTACCAAACCCAGCTATATTTTTACGTGAGATGACTTATTCTAGTAACCAATTAAATTAATCCAGTCAAGGTCAAATTTTCATCCCATTCCCTTAAGTTTGAGTAGAAATCAATTAGTAAACGGGATACATTTTGCTCCCTTTATACACTGAACGACAGAGGAGAGCTAATAGATGCTAAACAAGAAATAATTTCTCTCCTTTCTCAATCGATACACGAGTTAGTTCAAATGCATGAAAGAGATTTCCTTTTCGTCTGTCTTTTGTTCAAGAAAGATTTAGCAGTTCATTCTCATATCCTTCCACTCACTTTGAAAGATTGAACTACTGCAGACACGATTTTCCATTCTTCACCCAGATGTCCTTTAGCAATATAACAAAACATAACCATGTAAATTATAGCTATTCTCATTCCAGAATTAAGAGTCTAGCACAATAAGTAAATATCCTATTTAAATCCTAAGGATATAATTGGATGACTGGATTATGTATACAGCTCATTTTTGAATCAATCAAAATAATACTCAAGTAATGCTTATTTAATAAGATGTTTGACGTGGATACCGCAGTTTTATTAATCTGTAAAGAATAAATGTGAAATAGAATGTCATCTTACTATTTTGGTTGACTGTAATGGAAAATTATAAATCAATCTGAAGTATCACCATTTCAGTACAAAAAACACATTGTAATGATCTTTAATGTCATAATCTCTGTGAGGTTGTATTAAATTTCCAGTGTCTTCTTTTTCAAACTAGTCCAATAGTTGATCATTTGAATTAAAATGGTGTATATAAATTTTGATTTCTCTATATAAAGTAAAATTATATACCCTAGCTCAACCAAATGGAGGTACAGATAAATACAATTGCGGTAGGAGTTTTGGGTTCAAGGACGAAATGGCTACCCAGTGCTTCTCGTTTTTCAGTAGGTATTCAACCTAGATCTATTCGTAAAATCAATGTCATTCTCACCATTATCTCATTCTAAGACTTAAATCTAGAAATCTAGGGAGAAGCAGTGACCAGTGTGGTTCAACCATATCTTGTCCAACATTGCTTGAAGTTAGGTATACATCACTAAATTCCGGGTCACTGGTCTAGAGGTTAAACACACATGAAACCGGGATTCCTGGATCCAATTTCCTGTGGTGGAATTGTGGAGTGCACTACTGATGAATACATACTGGGACGAAACAGCTATTCAATTATTTTGGGTGGATATCTAACTTGGGTCAGTTTCTGATATCAATAACAATCAGTAAATGTTTGCTATAAAGTAACAGATACCGAGCTAATCTAAACTTTCCTAACTATTCTACCGGAAATTATTGTTCATATTTTTACTGTACAATTATTAAATACCCGGATTATTGTGTGTTTGTATTCCCTTATTTGCAAGCTTCTGGTTGATACATAAATAGTTGTTGAATGTTTTACTCTTCTCAAGTTGGTTTTAACTAATTGAGAACTTATCACTTCGTTTTCTTCCACCTATAGTACAGAGATGCTCATGTTGCAATTTCTTGTTTATAATGAAGTGTGGTAAATAATTTACTGTATACTATTTTATTATTGAGTGATAAAATTGAACTGCATGATGAGAAATTGTCTACTATCTGTGTTGTCTTCCATTCTGGCCAGCAAGCACGAGAGGACTGAATTTCGGGACAATAGTCGCTTAGTATCGACCTTGACTTATATCTCACTATCATTCTGTCATTAGTTAATAAGTCACTTGTCTTATATCCTAAAAGATATCTCGACGAAATAACCAGTACCTGAATTAGACCACATAACTGCTCTTATAACTACGGTTTGACCCAAGGGCATCAGTACAATGCTAGTAATCTGTTCGTTTTAGTGTCATATCAATATTTTTTATAGGTTTGCAGATATACATTGTTCAAGAGTACTAAAAATCATTACTTGTAATCCTGAACTCCATCTGAGTTAGTAGATTTATTATTAAATTCATTTATCAGATCAATAAGAGAGAAGAAATTATTGATTTGATGGTTTATTTTCACGTAGGAGAACTAAAACCGTGCTTGACACTCAAGGCTCTACAAGCTGATTAGTGAATTTTTTGGTGTGTCAAAAGATATGATCACTTTGACAGTCGTAACTTACCCAATCAATTTGATATATTAAAAAGTATCATTAATTTGGGAAGAAACAAATCGTATAATTTAAAAATTTTGTGGAGCTAAAATGTCCAATATGTCGGCATTACGACGTGATATTTCGGTCAATTTAGGGAAATAAAGTAAGCTATTAGCATTAATTACTGAATATTTTCTGGTCGATTGAAAACAGGTTTTCATTTTCGAGTCTTACTTTTTGACACTACTTTGATGACAGGAGCTATTCAAATATAATGTTACATAGCAAAAGGGAAGTAAAGTAATTGATGCATAAAATGATCCTAATATCGCTTTCATGTTTTACTGATTATGTGGATATGTATTCTCTTGAACTAACCTGCTCGCGTAACAATAATAAATTTATTCAACGGTACATGTCTAGTACATGTTATTCCATGGTTGTTACAGACTACTGTGACATTTATATTCAGTGACATTTTGTAGCAACAAAATAAAGATCACATATTTTTCCTTTTTGTCACACCTTATATGTAGCCACATTTATATTCAATATCTATTGCTTCTCTGTATCAATGGTAAGGAAATAAATATATTTGTTTGGTTATATATAATATACACTTCATTACCGCGATTCTTGAAATATAAACGCTGTCTCCGCCGTCTATTCTTCTGCTTTAGTTGCCATGGCCTTTGATTGAAGATTATAATAGTATAATAGTATTATAACATCCTTTTAGGCCTTTCCGCACTACATTGGAGCTTTGGCCCGCATTATTACTAAATAATACTACCGGATTTAATCTTCTTCATTTTGCTGTTGATGCCATCACGTGCAGAGGAACCTTTGTTGACCAAGTTAACTTATTTGTGGTCATTATCTCAGAAAGCAGCTTACAAGTAACATTCATTTCATAACACCGTTACCATTTCGTTGCTCAATATACCTTTTTATAATTAAACTGTAATTTCTTACCTTTTGCGTTACTCATAGACATACGCTTAGATTTGTAGTGTTAATTCTTTTGGTATATTGTTGGTAACTTTGCGTATTGTTATATTTTGACTAAGCTCTTTTGCTGCGATCCACCACAAGATCCACAAAGTTAGATAAGTCACTTGTATCAAATCAATAGGTCTTAAAAATGATTTGAAAACATAAATTATGACAAATGAAGAGAAAGAAATGAAATCAAAGTAACTAAAAATCGGTAAGAACAGACTACTGAGAGACGAACTTTGGTGTTTGTGCTTAATGATAGTTTGTGATGTTTGTATGAACCAATGATTCTTTTGTACTTGGTGTCTGTTTGGTTTTGAATGCTAAATATAATACGTTCGTTTGTGCTCACCTAGTTGTGTTTGGTCTAAATTGCGCTATTCCAGGGATTCCCAGTTAATGAAATAATTCAAATACTTCGAATTATCATATAGTTCCACTACACTATATCACGCGTTTCATTCAAAATCCAAACACAATACTTTCTACTGTACTCACAATTCTACTCAACTTGTAAACTGGTTCATACTTGATTATTAAAGAATGAATTTGACAGTTCTGGTAACTAATATTTCGCCTAATGATTTCGTTTACTTCCGATTAGCACATACTTTACGACGGAGTCAGTTCTTGAGAAACCCGACATTATTTCAAGTTGGGAAATCTTTAAGCATTGCAAAGAACTATTTAAAATCTGTTTCATGTGTAGTGAACAGAACACTGGTTGGGGACTATGTCAGTAAATTCTGAAAACCATACAATGGACAGTCAATTTGCAAATTAACAACCAATAGTCTCAATCTTCACTGTTTCTTCTCTAATTCCATTGTTCATGCATTTTCCTACCGATTGCGCTTTGTTTCAGTTCTTTCCTCATCGGTCTTCTGCAAAAGTACATTCTATGTCTGACCAACACCACATACTACTTATATGGATATAAGTAGACCACACCAAACATGACTGAAAAATATGCTAAACATAATTAAATCTCAATCTATCTCACTGACAAAGATGCATGTAACCTACTCAGAAACCTAATTTCTCCAGAAAATACTTAAATTGTCATACTGAGTTTTCAATGAGTTGTTATTCACTCCTGTGCAATGTGCCACTTCCATACAACAACAACAACAACAACAACAACAACAACAACAACAACTACTACTACTACTACTACTACTACTAATAATAATAATAATAATAATAATAATAATAATAATAATAATATATTCTCAAATAACAATATGTTACATAAGGCATGCCGGCAAGATCAAATTGTTACAGATAATACAAGATTCACTGTAATATGTTACTCAAATAGGTTTATATGTTATATGGCACACTGGTCATAGAATCGGAGGGTAACACTTCTCACATATGAATGAAGTTATTCCCCCACTATCACGTTTGCGGGTCATTAGCGCCACCTTCCTTCCCTCTGAGATGTTGGGCTATCTTACGTTTATGGTTTGTATGAATATTACTTCAATCTGAGCTCTATGTTGCACACCTTGTTGGGATACACTATGTCTACAAGTTCCATGTTACAAGCAAACCAGATAGCCAAAGCTTTTGTATTGTGAGTTAGATTTCCATTTAGTATATCACACTGCTATGAAGTTAAATAATGGTATGAGTTACAAGATACTGGTCAGTTAGTATGCGGTTTAGAGATGATACGGACAGATAACAGATCAAAGAATATGAAAAAAAGTTTTAAGTTGGGAAACTTCAGAGTAAGACGATAAGTAAGTGAACAAAACACTTGAATGCTGATTAAAATTTAAGAAAAAGAAATTGCATGACATGAATTTGAAGGAACTCACTATAATTTATGGTATTATGAGCTTCTTATGATCGCCCATAGTTGACCAGCATTCATAGGGTTAGTGAGTTATCTGTCTACGTGAAATAGAAATTAAAATCGGGACATGGAACTTCATGGGAAAAATAATGTGACTGTGGTGTTTGAATGAACCAATGATTCCCTTATATTGATGACTGTTTTGATTATGAATTCCAAATAAAATACATTTGTTCGTGCTCATCTGGTACTTCTTGATTTAATTGCGTTGTTTCTGGGATTACTAGTTTATACTATGATTCAAATACTTCAAATTATCACATTGGCATCGCGATGG